TTCGCTACGCTCACTCGTGAGAGATCTTTTCAACACTCGAAGATAAATTTCGTATCTCCGCGCGCCCATGTAATATCCTCTATATCTTCTCTTGATATGATAAAATAAAAAGCTCAAGATGAATAGAAACTGYTTAACAATGTAAGGAATTCAGTAGGATCTAAAACCGGAAACCTCTTACAGTTTATGCATATGACTGATTAGATAAAAAAGGTGGCCAAGATTCATTTGTTGACATGAAAAGTGAAATGAAAACACATGGATGTAATATAGAGGATGTATTATTTGCTACATCAAGTTGACAATAGAGAAAACGCGCATGCATCCGTTTTTAGCAGTATGTAAATCTCCGTTTTCCCCCCGAATATATAAACAAAATTTCATAGATATACATTTCTGATCAAGACTTTGTATTAACAACTACCACTTCAACTACCAGACGTTTTATTAACAACTACCATAAATTTCAATAAGGGTTTTTAAGTCTATTTGTGTGGCAAGAATGAAAGTCAAATTAGCATATTCTTAATAATAGAACGAATGCATTTTTTTAATTTTCAAAAAGACTGAGAGCATGCGCAGACCTTTTTTCCCATAAGTTACTCACTGTAGCTGATGATGTTCCTCCCTTCTTTGTAGGATTGTTTCTTGTTGTTGAACCACCTCAGTAGCTTAAGAAATGTACTTCTTCTTTTCATATGTGTCGTTGAATACCAGTTTAACCTAAAACTCCATGCTTCCTTAAATTCCTTAATCGTAGTTCAAGTTACCTAAACAATTCTTAATTTCCTGACATTTGTCTCAAGTAGCTATGCGCCCAACGTTGGTTGCAGAAAACGGGTCGTTTCCTGTAATTTTACCAATATTGGGATGTAAAGAATACTGACCCGATATTTATTAAGAATTAACGATGCCATGATGATGCCAACTACAGAGTTGATTGTTATTAAATCAAGGAGTAAATGGATGGTATATATGATGATATAATAATAGAAGTTTCTTTTCAAAAACTCTCGCACCTACCACTTGGGGCAAAATGGTTCCTGAAATCGGCAATGTTAACTAATTTTTCCATTTCAATTCCAAAGTCAATGAAACTCGGGCATAAGACACAAGTCAATTTTCTATACAATAAAGCCATTGTTCTATTGATAAACATCGATCCTCACCTTTTGAAGTTGGTGAAAAAGGTGTTGTTGCGATGTGCTCTTTCGA